TTATTTGTAATAAAACAGGTATTGCTGTCTCTAAGCCAGAACTGATCACCTGTCTGGAGAAAGAAAAAGGGCCCTGGAATATGAAGCGACATGAGATGGTGGATGAACCCCCAGGTAGGTGAGAGTGAACACAACAGATGACATGGGTGAGAGGTCCAAAGTCAAGGAGAAAGCCAGTCTTTAAAGTGATTTGGGAAGCTGTGTTCCAGAGTAAATAGTTTGTGGGAAGCCTGAAATTCTTTTAAAGTTATACTCTACATAGGGCATCTTCTGCTTATTCTTATGAAATGTTGTAGAATTCTACTTTCCCTTCAGTGACCTTCCTTCAAGTTTACAGTGACAGCCAAAGCACTGTTTATGGCATACAAAAGAGTGCACAATCTGACTTCCTTTTTCTTGTTTTTGTGGACTGATGGCTGTATAATTTTGAGATATTCTATGTTAGACTGTCTTTTAAGTTCTGTTTTTGCATCATGTCTAAAATGCGTGAGAGTAGTGGTTTCTGTTCTGTTGGTTTTTTGTTGTTGATTTTTCTGTACATTTTATCCTGTTTTCATTATTGTAGTCTTGAAATATAGTTTGAAATTATAAAGTATGATGTCCTTCTGCTTTGTTCTTTTTCCTCAAGATTGCTTTGGCTATTCAAAATTTACTGTAGTTTCAAGTACATTTTAAGATTGTATTTTTCATTACTGTGAAAAAAAATCACTGAGGCTGGGTGCGGTAGCTCACGCCTATAATTCCAGCACTTTGGGAAGTCGAGACGGGTGGATCACGAGGTCAAGAGATCGAGACCATCCTGGTCAACATGGTGAAACCCCGTCTCTATTAAAAATACAAAAATTAGCTGCGTATGGCGGTGTGCGCCTGTAGTCCCAGCTACTCAGGAGGCTGAGGCAGGAGAATTGCTTGAACCCAGGAGGCAGAGGTTGCAGTGAGCCGACATCGCACCATTGCACTCCAGCCTGGGTAACAAGAGTGAAACTCCGTCTCAAAAAAAAAAAAAAAAATCACTGAAATTTTGATAGGTAGTTTAATGAATCTATAGACTACTTTGATAATATGGCAGTTTTACAATACTTATTCTTTCAATAGAAATAAAATATTTCAAAATGTATTTTTGTTCTCTCTAATTTTTTTATTGATATATCTTTCACTTAACAGATTTATGAGCTCCTTGGTTAAATTTGTTCTCTAAAATTGATTATTTTATTGCTATTGTAAATAAGATTGTTTCCTCTTTCTATTTCATGAGATAGTGTAAGTGTATGGAAACACAACTTGTATGTTAATTTTATATTTTGCTAATTAACTGAGTGTATTCATTAGTTTAAACAGGTTTGAATCTACTGTTTATGTATATATTTATATATATATGTATATATATATATATATGATTACATGATCTACAAACAATGTTTTACTTATTGATCTTCAATTTCAATGACTTTACATTTTCTTTCACATAATTTCAATGCTATGTTAAAGTAGAAGCACTGAAAATAAGAAGCAGTAGTTTTGCATTGGTGTCTATACATTTGAAGGAGCAAACACGTCTTTAAGTTTTTATAATCTCTTTTCAGAACGTAAAAATCTATTTTTGTTGGGCCGCCAGAGTGATAGAATGCTCTCTGGGTTTGTAGTGAAGAGGTTTTGTAGCTTGATCTTAAGGCTGCTAGGTTTGCACAAGGGTCCATCTTTAGTTGCCTTGTTAGAAGGGGCTTGGATAGTTGTAATGTTTTTAATTTTTTGACAGCGTGAATATCTTCAGGACTTTGCTATGCAGGGCAGAGTCAAAGACAGTTTTCTGCAGTCAGGTCTGCATACAATGGGCATCGTATCAGGATGTGGATGAGCATGGGTTTCACTGAGTACAAATGAGGATTTTCCCAGGTCA